TTTTTTTTTTTGAAGTAAAATTTTAAATTTCAAAAGAATAAAGTTTTATAACAATATTAATTATAACAAAAGTAAGTACAAACTAAATTAGTGCTTAAGATGTATCAAGATAGATCATTAAAAAAACAAAAAAAAGCACACTTAATTCTTTACTGTTTTCAGTTATGTATGCTACTCTCAACATCTTATCATCTATTCGGATGTTCAAGCAAATCATCAAGGCAAAAATGGCTCCGATGTGATATTTTTGGCATTACTGCTGGTTTAATTGGAATGTACACTGTTGGAATCTATAGTGCTTTCTACTGCTTTGAGGTAAACTGGTTACTCTAGTAGTAAATTCTACCATAGCTTTAACAACTTTAAATAACTACAAAAAATCATCACTACCCTTGCATCAAGAATCATCACGAATCAATCAGATCATCATTTATGATTTGACTTGTTAAAAATTTTTTAAACACATAGCTTGTTTTTGAATTATGCTTAATTTGTTGCAGCAACTGCGTACCAATTATTTTACAATGCTGATGGGTCTGTTTGCAATAAGTGCTTATATGCCTTCTTGCGATAACTTCATGGAACCAAAGATTTTTGGAGGTCGGATTGGATACCTTCATCTTACTTACATCGCCATTGTTGCTTTTGGTGTTTGCCCAACTGCTCACTGGGTTACCTTACATGGCGGACTGCAAAATGAGCATGTTGCGGTTAGTGTTTATCTTTTTTTAAAGATATTTAGTGTGCAAGTCTCTATCATTGCAGGCTTAGCAAGCTGTTTTAGCCTTCACTAAACTGCTCGGTACAGTTTAATTATAATAATGTCTCTTAATTTTAAAAAATTTTGTAGGCTTGGCTACCAAAGATACTTTTGCTGTACATATTGACTGGATCAGGATTTTTCTTTTATGCCAGTATGGTTCCAGAACGATTCAAACCTGGTAGGCTTTTTATTATAAACACTTTTTTAAATACTGCTATTTGGTTCAGCTGTAAATTTGAAAAAAAATTTTACAAAGAATAATTAAATTTTGAACTTTTAATAGGTGTATTCGATATTTTTGGTAGCAGTCATCAGTGGTGGCATATGTTAATATTTGCGGCTATGTTCTTTTGGTTCCGCTCAGGCATTGATCTTCTGACGTTTTATCGAACATTAGATACTGATTGCCCTGTAATGACACAGCAATTCAATCAAACATATCTTCAGTTATGGTAATCAGTCAAATTTTTGTGCAATTTTATTTTTTTTACAAGTTTTCAAAGAAGAACCAAAGGTTCAAGCAAACCAATTATTAATTCCAGTCTTTAAAAATCGTAAAAGTACAGCTGACTTCATAACTGCAGAATCAGTTCTGTCTTCAAACATCATCTAAACAAATGTATGTATTATATATGTACTTTATTCGTTTCATTGTTATTTGCTGTTGCAAAAACTTATAAGATTTTTATTCCAGAACAAGTGCCTACGTTTTCGTTTTTGTTAAGCATAATTTTAGTTTTTGTATCATTAATGAATCAAATAGGTTCCAAATTGTTTCATGGTCTACACAAATGCATAAAGTCAAAACAAATTTTTATTACTTAGCTTTTTCCACTCTAATTTTATTTTACAGCTACACTAAGTGACATTTTGATTTTTAACTAAGCCCATCAAGTTTAGTCTATTTAAAACAGTTCTCGTTCACTGATTTTTGATGCTAGTCCTCGTATCGTTTTCCCAGTTATGAAACTGCAAAACCGATTACAACTGTTTTTTTGTTATTGTAAATATAAATTAAACTTGACCGAGTAGGACTAATAAACACTACTTTAATTGTTTTA